TAAATGAATATTTTAGGATCCTTTTATACTTCTACTTGAAAGCTGAGAAAACTCAAAATTTTTGGCATCTTCCTGTTCTCAGAGTTCCAGTAAAGCTATAATAATGGTTTTTAATATTAGCTCATTTTTTTAATACCTCTTAGATACTGTTTCTTAATATAGTATGCTGTATAACATTTAAAATACATTTTTGACTAAGTGTCACTGTTATACTAATTTCTGACAGTATCTGGAAGTAACTTCTTTGTTCTTTGAAGCAGAAAATTACAATGTTATGAAAATTGGATAGAGAGACAAGTACGCCTGCTTTAGGAGCAAATGGTTAAGAGCAAAAATAGGCTTTATTGTATTCTGTGACTTGGAACAAGTTAACTAGATGAATATAATTATGTTCTAAAAATACTCAAATATAAATTATTAGCATTTTTAAAATTTGAAATTTATCTATATGTATACATTCTTCTTTGAGTTTAGAAATTCTCTTTTTTGTCATGGTCTTATCAAGCATTAGTGAGCCAAATTTACTTTCATTCACTGTGATAAGCCTTATTTAAGATGGCACAAATATTTTTAAGATATAATTTATTATGTAAAAATAATAGTTAATACTAGCATTTACTATATGGTACACATTTCTAAGCATGTAACATAGAGTTTATTTAATCCTCACATAAACCTGTGATGGTAGTACCATTCTTTCCCCCATTTTTACAGATGAGAAATTAAATCACAAAGAGGTAAATATTTTGTCCAAGGTCACAGCTAGTAAGTATTGGAGCGATGATATAAACATAGGCATTCTGACTTCAAGATCTGTGCTCTTAACTACTATGTTTGCAGTGTAAGCCTTAAATCAAGAACATTGTTTTGAGTGTGAGGCTCAAACTAAAAGCCTGCAATTTTGACAGGGATTATAAAAGCACAGTCTGTTTCTAAACTGTTTCAGATATATTCAGAAAAGGGATGGATTAAAATTAAAGTTTAGAAGTCCTATTTTTGCAATAGCAAGATGGTGATAAAAATTATTAGTAACAGATGATGGGATAAGAGGTACTGCGGCTTATTCAGCCACACAAAGGAATACTAGGAAGGCTGAGAAAGGAAAGAAGACAGCCTTGCAGTACAGTTCTGGAGTGATTTGAGAATAGTATCTAGAGTTTTCTTGTATTTAAATAGTGCAACATAGATAGCAATGGAAAAATAAACCAAATTGATGCAAGTGGCTATGTAGGGGGAAGAGAGTAAGAGACTGGAAGCTAGATCTTTCAGGGTGTGTACCTCTTCTGTCCTTTTTGCTTTGGAGCTATACAGATGTTTTATGTGATATAAAATAATAAAGTAAAAGCAGTTCTAAACATGGAAAAAAAAACCCCTGAAACATCTAAATCTAACTATTACCATCTTGGTGTTATAAGCCATCTTAGAAAATTTCAAGCAACTTTAATACATAGTATTCTACATTTATATCCCTGGTAGATTATAACATTAGAACAAAATAAACCCACAGGAAATTATAAATTGCCCTCAGTAGCGTTATTGTTATCGGTAGTATTGGTATTGGTATTTTGAAACACATATGTGTATATGTGGATGTTTTTGTACATAGCAGTTAAAAGCAAACAAGTTAAGGTTGTCAGAATCTGGGATTTTTCACTATAAGGGAAAAAAAGGTGGAACTATAAAAGCAAAGAAGGTATGTAAAATGCTGCAATCTTATATGGATTTGGTAAATTATTGGTATTTACTTTTCAGGGAGAGAAAAATAGATTTCCCAATACTGTGTAAGCAAAGACCTAGAAACGCTGTTAATTCAGTGGCAATAAGCACCTCAGAGCCTAGATTGTGGTCTGTAAATACTGTGTCCTGCTGGTTGACTCCAGAGCTCGGGCAAGAGAGACACAAGATAAACTGGGGAGATCTCCTTGTGCCAGAAGGAAGGGAAGGTGGGATCTGTCAAAAGGATGCAGGAATCAACTTGAAGGAGTTCTCACTGGCTAATGATGGGACAGTTTGAGCATCAAAAGAAAACTAAACTAACTGGATTAAAACACATCAAACATGCTAAAATTTCTGAGAACATAATGATTCCCCCCAAGAAGAGTAAGTTATAATTTAAATTCTGTTAATATCTGTAGATTGCCTTATTTTAAACTATCAATTATTAGTTTAGTTGTCTGTAGTGTTATTTCCCTCTTAGAGATGTTTGGCAATCTGGGTGTACATGATTTCAATGAAAATATTTTAGAAGTAAGAACACTGCTGCTGATCATGTTCAGTAGGATTTTGATCATTATGAAAGAACCTTCTTTGCAATGGAAATTTGAACTCTGTGACTTTTTGGTCACAACTGCAATACCTTTCTTGGACATTGGGTAGTAGAGTGTCATGTCTGTGAGAATTATATAGGACCTTCTATATGGATTTTCCCGCAGGTTTCTCAAGTTCGGTATGTTCAAAATGAAGCCTCATTGTTACTAATGGCACCATGATTGTACCCATTGACCAAACATGAAAACTAGGAGTAATTCCAGATTTCTTCACCTTTGGACAGCTGTTTAGTTGGTTTTCTATATCTGATTAGTTCTACTTTTTGAATATTCTCTTGATTCTAATCCACAATTTTTGCCTCCAAGTCTGATAATGGTATTTTCCTGCCTAATTTTTCAGAAAGGACCTCGTTGTTTCCATGGTTCCTGGCCTTTTTGAATACAGAGACTCCATTTTAGTTCTGAAATATGTGAATCCTTTACACAACAGCAGCTATACTTTTATACATAAAGAAAATGCATCAGGACAGAGTTGAATAGTACTGAATAATACTTTTCAATGAATTTATATTTTAAAAGTCATAATAAGTATGTAATTACTTTTACTTTTCTACACAGACTTCTGTAATCTTTAGAGTTAATTTTTTTTTGGTGTAGTTTTTTAAGTGCAGTAAATTCTCTGCCACTTGTCTCTGCTCAATATGTTCATATACGTTGATCCATCAGGATTTTATTACTTTCATTTTCTTATATAAGTCTGTTTCAGAGCCATGCTGACTCCCCCTTCTTACTCTTCCTCTCCAAGCTTGTTGCTTCTTTTTCTTGTTCCTAGTGTTCTGAAATTTTATAGTGATATGCCTTCATGTAGGTTTATTTTGATTAATTGTCCTGGGCACTGCTGGACCCTTTTAGTCTGGAAAGTCTCTCCTTTTGACCCTTTAAAGAAAATACACTGTCTTCTCCTGGGATAGGGGAAGGTTAGTTGCCCAAATATGCAGATTGGGGAATATCTGGCACTCTGTGTCTTCAGTAGACTTCCAGTCACTCTTATTTTTAGCTTTTCTTTTACCCTCTTTTCCAAAGATGTATGGCTCTGCTAATCCCTGTGTCTTTTGATAGGGAGTGGTAGGGAGAAGATAACACACAATGTACATCCAGTTGCTCTCAGCTTTCTCTATTGCAACCTTAGGTTTTAGCCTTCTCTCATTTGGTAAGTCAGTTACCTCTTGACTTTCCTCTTTGTAGATTCCAATATTCATCTCTCATTCCCTTTGTCCTTTTAAAATTATGCTCTCCTCCCTTAAGAATCTTTTCACTCTAATTTTAGTGGGGTTTCAGAAGGGAGTGAAATTGATGTGTGTCAAACAATCAGCAGATGGCCTTATCTTCCACTTGTAGATAATATAGATGTTTGGTGACATCTACCTCTGAGACTCTCTCTGTCTACTACCTTATCTACATCTTCCCCCTCTTTAGTCCAATCTATTTTTTTTAACAAAATAAACTTCACTGAAGTCCAGTTTAATCATGTTCTGAATCTCATCATCTCCTATTGCTTTTAATCAGGAACAGTGATATCTTTTCTCCTGTATCTCTTAGTAGATATCATAGTGTTTGATACACAGTAGAAGTTTTTATATTTTTTAAAATTTTCTTTGGACATTCCTTTTACTTTTTTGCACAAAATTAGACAATGTTGTCATTCATTGTAGTATTGCTTACTTTGAGAATGTTAAAATGTGCAAGGTGTATTTGATTGTCACTGTGCTGTTGGCACTTAATGAGCACAGACCCCAGATGCTAAAAACCCCTTAATTTTTAAAACAGTCCTGCACAGTAAATGCTGCTCCCACGCTGAATGCCAGTAGTCAGTCTTCAGACATATTGCTGGAAGCTTTAAGAGAAGCCTGGCTCTGCCTTGAGATTGGTACTTGCCTACTACCCTCTCAAATGGTGTCTGTTTTCATTCTTACCCCTCAAGCAGTGGGGCTGAAGTGTGGAACATTTCTTTTTGGTCCTCACTGCTGCTCCCTGAGCACTGCCTTCCTTACTCCCTTAAAAGACAACAACAACAACAAAAAAACCCAAAACAAAAATCCCACCCCAGTTTGAATTTCATGCTACTTGTCTTTGTTATGGAAGGAACCCATCTCACTCATATAAAAGTAATTTGTATACAAATTTGTCACCTGTATCAATCAGTGTACATGGTTAATGATTTATATAATTTATATAATAAATAGGATTATTTCTCATTTAATAAATATGCAGTGCCCTTTTCCATCCAATTCATTGATAAATTTAAATGTAGACTTATTTTTGGATAGTAGCTATAGTTGTTACTAATTTCCCTTTTCACTATTAAAAGCCAATACTTTTGAAATGCCTTATTGCCTCTATAAGTGCAACATTTTTTCACGGTTATTTGTTTAAAATGCAAAGATAAGAATTACATTAACAACATGATACCTATATTATCAGAATGTGATTAATTATAATTCAGTGCAAGATATATAGCTGTGTCTAAACATGTATTGTACACTTAAATTGCAGCTTTTAATGGATTATCTTAGAAAAGTGTGTCTAGTGCCAGAATGTTGAATACTTCATGTACTTGTATGTATTCTCAGATTTGGTGTGTGACATTTAATAAATTGTTTTCTTTGCCTGTATTTTGTATAAAGCAGTGACTTGCATATGAAGTATTACCAGAGTGTCTTTCTGGCTTTTTAGGTTGTGGAAAATGCCCTTAAAGTGAACCCAGTATTAGGCCCGCAGATGTTTCAACCAATTCTACCTTGTGTTTTCAGAGGTATTATAGAAGGGGAGGTAAGATTTTTCTTAAGCTTCTAAGACTATTATTGGATTGTAGGGTTTTATTTTAATTATTTTTCTTCTTCATTGGAAAATTACTTCTTCTTCATTGTTAGAAATAAAAGGAAAGCTTTTCTTATTATTTGATCATTTTGAAATAAATCAGGTAAATGAACTATTTCAGAATGGTTATACAGGTTTGCCCTTTCTCTGCACATAGGGAAGCATAGATTTCCCTTGATGTCTCATCTAATTCACTCATACACCTGTATATTTGTACACAAATATTTTAAGCAGAGGAATGGAAAAAATAGTTTTGTTATATATGGACAATTTGAAAACACTGGTTATTTTCTAAGTCAGGCTCTTAAGTAGATCCATGCATGTCAGTGATTGTTAATAATTGTTTATACTTGTACCGTAACACGGTTTTACATATGCTGTATTTTAATTGTACAGAGGTATCCTGTAGTGATGTCAACGTATCTCGGCGTTATGGGTCGAGTCCTGCTACAAAACACTAGTTTCTTTTCTTCACTTCTTAATGAGATGGCACATAAATTTAATCAGGAGGTAAGAATCATTTTACTTAAATTGAAGGAAGTCTTTATCCAAAAAAAAGATTGGAAATAATTTGGTGAAGTAATGAATCTATAAAAGTCTTGTAGTATTTAAACTTTAAGTCTTAAATAACTTATGTTGTGCTATAATTTGGGAGAAAGAAGAACAAGGAATCTGAATGGCAATTAAAACTTAAATTTTGTTCTCTCTCAAAACAGGCAATTTAATTCTGCTTAGCCATAGGATAGAATTTTGATTTGTTTATGGTTGCAGAGTTTTTATTTACTCATACATGAAATGAAACAGGAATACTTTGCACATAATCATGTACTATCTTTGTTTTATTTCTGTAATGAACGTGTTCTTAGTGCCATGCAATGATTTTCCATTATCATTGTTGCGGTAAGTGATCTTTTCAGCAGAAGCTTATTTAGAAATACACTGTAACTGAAACCAACCACCTGCATAAGTAAGAAATAGGTTCTTAAGTGAGTTGGTTACTTGAGACTATGTACATTGTATTAAAATGCAGTTTTTATGTTTTACGTTATTTATCTGTTAAGATTTATAAAAGATAAAAGGTGGAATATACTTGACCGATATCTCCAGAGTGGAGGGGCAATTTGTGAAATCTTTCAGTTTGTGTCTAAAATAAAATTTTCGCTTAAAGGAAATCAAGAGTAAGAAAGTACAAATTGTAGAATGTATATAGTTTTTCCAGAATTAGAATAATCTAATTAGGGAAACTAACTTCTGTTTTGATGAACAGAAAGGAGAGATTTTTTCATTAGCTTCATTAAATTTAGCTGTGATGGTATAATGTTAAACAGTTTAAAGAATTTATTCAGCTGAGTTCAGCAAAATCTGTGGAGTGATTTTAATAATAATATATTTAACAATATAAATTTTATGTTATATTTTAAATCTTCACAACAACCCAATGAGATAATAGTATTTTTATTTCCATCTCACACCTGAGAAATCTAAGGCTTGGAGACTTAGTGACTAGGTCAAGTCTGCAAAGCTAGTAAATAATGGAGTTGATGTGCAAACCCAGCCTGGTATCTTAGTGACCACATTCTGCTGCCTCCTACACACTGGAACAGGAACTTCTCCACTAGACATTGGAGACACTTGCTTTCACAAGCTGGTAGTAGTCTTTTAAGAGAGAGAGTACTTAAACAGGCGATTTTCTAACAATATTGTAAGTATTATGTTAGAGCTATGTCCTGCATGCTATGGAAAGAGAAAGAAAAGCTATCTACTGTGTTAAAAATTTTTTTCCTGATTTTTTTCTTGTGATAAAATACACATAGCATAAAACTTACCACCTTAACTACTTTTTGGTGTACAGTTCGGTGTTATTAAATGTATTCATAATGTACAGTTATCACCACCATCAATCTTAATAACTTTCAGATTTGTAAAACTTGAGCCTCTTACCCATTAAACAGTAGCTCCCCATTTCCCCACTCCCTGTAGCTCCTGGAAACCACCATTTTAATTTCTGTGTCTAGAAATTAGGTTAGGTTTTGTAGATTTTAGTAGATTTTGACTACTCTAAGTACTTCATATAAGTGGAATCATACAGTGTTTATCTTTTTGTGACTAAATTACATCACTTAGCATAATGTCTTGAAGGTTCATTCATGTTGCAGCGTATGTCAGAATTTCCTTCCTTTTTAAGGCTGAAAATATTTCATGGGGTGTGTGTGCGTGTGCGTGTGTGTGTATATAAATAAAATCTCACATTTCGCTTATCCATGGATCAGTCAGTGGACACTTCAGTTGCTTCCACATTTTAGATACTGTGAATAAAGCTGCTATGAACATGGATATACAGATATCTCTTTGAGACCTGCTTTCTATTCTTTTAGATATATATATTGAGAAGTGGAATTGCCGGATCATATAGTAATTCTATTTTTAATTTTTTTGAGGAACCACCATACTGTTTTGCATGCACCTTCACTATTTTAAATGCCTGCCCACAGTGCACAAGGATCCAGTTTCTCCATATCTTTGCCAACACTTGTTTTTTTGTTTATTTTGTTTTTGTTTTTTGACAATGTCTACTTTAATGGGTGTAAGGTGGTACTGTAGTTTTATATGCATTTCCCCTAATGATTAGTGGTATCAATCATCTTTTTGTATGCTCATTGACCATTTGTGTATCTTATTTGGAAAAATATCTATTCAAGTCTTTTGCCCATTTTTAAATCAGGTTATTTTCTGTTGAGTTTTAGCATTATTTATGTATTCTGTATATTTAACCCTTATCAGCTGTATATTATTTGCAGATATTTTCTCCAGTTCTATGGGTTTCCATTTCACTCTGTTGATAGTATCTTTTGATGCACAATTTTTTTTTAATTTTCAAGAAGTTCAGTTCATTTTACTTTTTTTTATTGCCTATGCCTTTGATGCTGTAGTCAAGAAATTGTTGCCAAATTCAGTGTTGTGAATCTTTTGTACTATTTTTTTGTCTAAGAGTTTTTATAGTTTTATGTCTTACATTAAGTTCTTAACTCTTTTTTAAATTGAAGCATAGCTGATTTATGATTTTATATTAGTTTCAGGTGTATAGCATAGTGATTCAGTATTTTTACAGATTACATTCCATTAAATGTTATTAAATGATAATAGCTATAATTCCCTGTGCTATACAATATATCCTTGTTGCTTTTTTCTTTGACCTATTTTGAGTTGATTTTTGTATATGGTGTGAGGTAAAGGTCTAGCTTCATTCTTTTGCGTGTGGGTATTCAGTTTTTCCAAAGCCATTTGTTTAAAAGACCATCCTTTCTTCAGTGAACGGCCTTGGCCCTCTTGTCAAAAATCATTTGACCATAAATGCAAGGATTCCTGGCCTCTCTGTTCTATTCCATTGGTCTATATGTTTATCTTTATGCAATTATCATATTGCTTTGATTCCGAAGGCTTTGTAGCACATATTGAAATCCAGAAGTGTGAGTCCTCCAGCTTTTTTCATCTTTTTGGAGACTATTTTGTTTATTCAGGGTTACTTGAGATTTTATATGAATTTTAGGATGAGTTTTTCAGTTTTTGCAAAAAATGTCATTGGGATTTTTGAAAGAAAGTGCATTGAAACTAGATTGTTTTGAGTAGTATTGACATATTAACAATATTAAGTCTTTCAACCCATGAACATGTTTTTAAATGTTTCTGAATTCTCTTCATTAGTACTTTGTTTAGGAGTTTTGCATCAGTGTTCATAAGAAATACTGATCTATAGCTTTTCTTTTTTGTAGTATCTTTGTTGGGCTGTGTTACCAAGCTAATGCTGACCTCAGCATGAGCTTATAGAACGAGTTAGAAAGTGTTCCTTCCTTTTTGATTTTTAAAATTGAAAATTTTAAAATATTGAAATAAGTCCCTGCTAATTAGAAAACAGTTTAAGAGTAACCTTGATAAATGCTATAATTGATTAATAGTATAAATTTTACTATGAAACAGTTTATCATTTCTTTTCAGTTTTGTAAACAAATCTTTTGAATATGAGGGAGTATAATGAAGAAATTATGTTAATAATAAATTGCAATGTAGAACATCTTCTGATATGTTGAAGAATTTAGAACAGTGTGGAACATCTGTTAAAACTGTAGGACTCAGTGCAAAGTAAAACAAAGTGATTTCAATGAGAAATATTTTTATTATTTCAACAAAAATGTAGTGATTTGTTATGACTAATGATATAAAATTCAGACACAAAGGTGCTGAATAAGTTGTATCATTAAAGTTGAAGGTTCTAAATATATAAGAATAGCAGTCATGTTCTATTAATGTTTCTGGCAAGTAAAGAATTTTTACAGTAATTAGGAAAAAAGGAAATATCATAAATTTATATTAGTTAATAAAGTGATTGAAATAACTAGTTAATAAAGTGATTGAAATAAACTGTCGAAGTGAACAGAAACATTTGTTAAAGTACCATCAGCATTTTTAAAATTGTATCACAGCAAAAAAAAATGTGACATTGAATATATATATGTTCATGTATAACTGAAAAATTGTGCTCTACACTGGAATTTGACACAACATTGTAAAATGACTATAACTCAATTAAAAAATGTTAAAAAATAAATAAAAATTGTATTTACTATGTAGTTTTAATATAGTATCTTAAGACATGGAATATTTAATAGAAATTTCAAAAAATTAATATTGATGGTACCTATCGTTACTTTCTAAATTTGTTTTCCACCTGTTAGCTAACACGTATTTACTAAAATGAGAAAATAAGATTTTTGAATTACTTATAAATTACTTAAATGAGAAATTCATGACTTTAAAGATATTTAATGACGTTTATTGATCTCATGTAGCTCAATGAAAGAATATTTGAAATAATAAACTTGGCATTTAAGAAAAATATTTCAATAAGAAACATTTACATGAATACCTCACTGTATAAAAGCTGCCAGTGTCACTCTAGGGAGAAATGGTGTATAGCTTCAGTCAAAAACTTTTTTCCACATGTTTTAATTTCGTTCTAAGTCACTAAATTTAAGAATATGCAATGAAGGAAGTAAATCAAGTAAGTCAAAGCTTTCCTTAATAAATTTCATGTTTACTGTTCCATTAAATAAGCATCAGAAAGATGCAAATAATATACCTGAAAATCACAAATTGGATCTTGAAATTGGGAGAATATTAGGCCCGCAGTTTTACTTTTTCTTTTTATTTCTCCCTCAAATGTACTAATGTAATTAAGCAAATGTGGATAGTTTTCTTGCACTATATGAAAACTAAGATCTGAAGATTGCTCTTTGATATAGTAAAATTCTAAAGATATGTCAACATTTCCAAAATAATTTTGGGCACATCACCAGCTAAAACTGTAAAAGCTTCCAGAAGAAAACACAGGAGAAAAAAAATCAATTTGTTTTACATATATACACACACAAAATAGTAATTTCTGAATCATTTGCTGGTATTAAAAATTGTGAATACACTTTTTTTATTTGATGCTGTTGACATTAGCTGAATAA